GCGGGGCCCGCCGCACACAGGACGGCCTCGGGCTGGCAGGTCCAGGAGTAGACCCCCATAGGAAGCCTCACATGGGCAGGACTCGGCCCGCCACGGGCCGGCTCCCCAGGCCACGTGCTGGCTTCCAGGGTGGTCCTGGTGCTGGAAGCCCGACTTCCCAGTGCGGCTGTGTCTTGGCTTGTCTTGGTGGGGGTGGTACTAAAAGGACTTAGAATTTACACACGGTTCCGCCCAGCCAAGTAAGCAGCTACCCTGCTGCCTCGCCAGGCTCGTGGTTGTGAAGGGGTGATGCGACCCAGTGCCAAGAGGGGCTCTCGGCCATCGAACCCCCTTACTGGGCAGACGGAGATGTGACCCATAACGCCGTCCGTGGGCGCCAGCTCCCTGGGCGTCTGCAGCCAAGTCTGTGGCCTCTAGTGGAGGAGGCCTAGGACCGTGCAGTGTCGTGGACGGCGTCCCCTCCATTGGCACGTCTCCATTTTACACCCAGGTGGACGGTACGAGTGCTTGGTCTGGGGAGCTGGCTCCGACTGTGTGACGGAAACTTCCGGGGCGCTCGGCAGTCTTCAGAGACGACTGGCTGCTGCCGCCCGTCACGGCTGGTGACTGAGGAGCGAGGGTTCAGGCTCAGAGGGCTTCGTGTAACTTCAATTTAAACCCCCACATACGGCCAACGGCTCTTGTGTCGGACGGAACTAAACAGGGGCGTTTGTGAGTGGGCGACACACCTGACACTCGTGGCCGTGGCGTGGCAAAGTCGGCTCTGTGGACAGGCTCCTCCCACCTCCAGGATCAGGACACGCAGTCCTGCGGAAAGCCTGCCCACTCACCCGCCACCCCGTCACTGTTTAAGAAGACCCCTAGTCCGGCCAGCCACCGTTGGGGACGTACCTGTCCCTTCGCACGACACGCTGCACGCGACGGAGAACGCGCCCAGGCGCTGCTGCTGGTACCTCCACCCCCGTGCACGTGCAGAATGGATGCCCGTGTCCGTTAGGCCGTCCATTAAGAATGTAGCTCGTCGTAAAAGGTCCCTGAAGCACACCGCAGGGACAGCCGTCTTGGGGAGCACAGACGCCGTGCGCCGCTGTCCAGACCTCCCACCACGGGCTGGTTCTCGTGTCTCGCTCTCGGAATCCGGTGAAGAAAGGCCACGCGCTGGCGGCCACGTTGGCGTGACCAAGACGGGCGAGGCCCACGTCTCCAGCTTCACTTGGGCAGTCAGATGTCCCCAGTCATGAGTCCTGGACCACCTGGACTGAATGGCATTTTCAGACGAAGAAACCGAGTTGTAGAGATGTGCTTGTCACCGCAGCGTTGCGGCCCTCGCTCTAACAACCGGGTATTAACAGGCGTCGGGCAGCATGCAGCTGGTCGGCCTCTCAGGAAACGACAGCCCACGGCTCTCTGCCCCGTGGAGGGTCCCAAATGAGCATCCTCGCTCACCCCAAGCCCAAGCCAGAGCACGGTCTCCCCCTCGAGAGCCGCCCCACTCGCCTCGATGGAGCTGTTTCACACAATAGGCCCCGTGGGCCGGAGGCCCCGCTGAACCCCATCTCTCCAGGTCAGTGCCCGGCCTGTGGCATAGACGGCCCTTCGCCATTGCCCGGCCAAGGCCTCAGCTGTGCTGGAGGCTGGGGGGGCACGGGGAACCACGGC